CCCATGGTGGAACCTCGGTGAGGAGAACACGGGAGAAAACAAAGGGCATTGGAAGCGGCCTGTTCCTGGGGCCCATTGCTGCTGCCGCTCCCCACCAAGCTGGGGCATCCAGGATGAGCCTGCGTGAGTTCAGCTCCTGGCCTAGCTGGGGGGATCCGGGGTGAGCACGCACAGCCCGGGACCCTCGTCCTCACACCTCTGCCCCGGGGGTTGGCTCTGCGTCTGGTGTGTTTCCCAACACGCCACCGGCGCTGACTCAATTGCCTCCATCGCAGCCTCACCCTCGCAGCTGGGGGAGCTGAGGCCTGTTCAGGACTCTGTTTTGAATCCTGCTTGGATTCTCTCTCACCTCCCAGACTGCCCTTTTTGTCTGCTCCGTCAGGATGCATCCAGGCCCTGTGGCTGCCTCCCTCTGGCTGCTGGCGCGGCGTTCAGCCACTGGGAGGGGCTGGAGAGATGCAGGGCCCGGGCAGCTCTGTGCACTTGCCCAGCTGCACCCCTAGCAGGTACTGCAGCAGACTGAGGTAGATTTTTCCAATGGGTTCCATGAGTGTGTCACGGGAGCAGCAGCCAAGACTGGCGTCTGTCCAGGCAGCTGGACCCCTGAGCCCCTTCCCCGGGCTGGTGTTGGCACCGCCTCTCAGGAGCAAGGGGCACGGGTGCCAATGCACTCACCGTGTGCTGTCTAGTGGGCTCTGCTTCACACCAGAGGGTGGGACACCCGGTGGGGGGTGTCAGGGGAGAACCCTGGGGCTGAGATTTTAAACAGCTGGACGGGCACACAGGGGAGCGGCAGACAAGGGAGGCTTGTGATTTCAGAGGCAGGGGGAGAGAAGGCATGGAGGCGCCGGGAAAGGGACAGACTGTCACCAGGGCTCCCCTGCTTTGCCAAGCCTTCAGCACCTTACGTCTCATTCTCGAGCATTTCCCCTGTCTCTCCCCCGGCTCTCTGGGGGACACTGTTCTCCACTGGGCATCTGGAGGGGGCCCAGGACTCCCATGGAGCCCAGGAGGCAGGGGAGGGGAGGAGCAGGTGGGCCAGCGGCACCTGCCTGCCTTGACTGCATCATGCACTGAGTGTTATCGATGGTGGCTGCTTGGTTCCTAACAGAATGTGCGATGGAGGAACGCTTGCTTTTTGGTAATAACTGCATTTATTTCCACATTTGCAGTAACACCTAGGTTGTTCTTGACTGCCCAAAGACACTTTTATCTGTAATGGCGTTGTCTAGGGATGGAAGAACAAACAGCAGAGTTGGAGCCATTGGGCTGTTTTTGAAAGCGCAACTTTGGGGGGAATAGGCGTTTGCAGAAAACACTGATGTTTCCTGCATGTGTGTTCAGCAGCGCTGCCCTCACGGCTTCTGTCTGAAAAGATTTCTCGGCTAAGTGAAGACAGGTGCCCCAGCGGCGGTAGCAGGTCCCAAGCACGCAGCCGCTGGCCCCATGGTCTCGGCCCCACTCACTCCCCCAGCCGGCCTCCAGTGTCAGGGCTCTGCACGGCCGGGAAGGTTTGAAGAGACCTCACTTCGGAGTTTGCAGAATTGGCAGGTGTTGGGATTGGTATTGAACAAGTGGTGGATTCGGGTCCCACAAACTTGAAGCAAAAGTCTTCCCAGGGATCTAAGCATACTGGAGTGGATTAGCCCTTTCTGCTTGGGTGGACATGGCGGGAGGGTGAAAACCAGAGGCAAAAGGAAGAACGAAGAAGCGAGAATCTGAATGCGTCAGCCCTGGGTGCCAGGGAGGGGATCTGCCCACAGCAGGCGCTTGTTGGCCGAGCTCTGAGGGTCGGTGTTTGGTTTGGTTTGGGTCAGTCATCTAGGAAGTGATTTTTCCTTTATATATAGATAAATAAAAATTAAACATAAAACAAATGTTTCCATGTCATGCAGCTATGCTACATTTAATGGCTTATCCCGCGTTCAGAGTCAACCTGGGTGCAGGCAGTGGTCAGCAGGGAGGCCTGGGGTTACACTGCGTTTCTTTGAAGGAGCTGGTCCAGTAATTGCTAGAGAGGCAGGGAAACAAAGGGTCAAGTTCAGGTTCCCAGCTGTGTACCACACACATCACACCTGCTGGCACAAGGCGTTACCTTTTTGAAGACTTCAGCACGGAGCCTGTTACTCTGTAGGATCACCCTTTTCTTTTGTTCTTCTTTCTTCTTTTTAACTTCTGGCAAGTTATTATAGATTCTGAAACAGATGCAGAGAACATCTGGAATTGGGGGGTGACCGCCACGCTCATGGCTGAGCCCTTCCACCTCTCCCAGGCTCGGCACCGTGAGAACCGGGGACAAAGCACCCTCCCCAGGCCCCCGGAGCACACCAGGAGGCGGTGTCCCACCCAGGGGCAGAGCTCCCGAGGCCAAGTATTTATCAGAGGCCATTTTTCTTGTCCTGCCTTCTCAGGGGTTCGTGACACTGATGTGTCAAACGAGGTGTTCTACTGCTTTGCCACTCTGACTGTGCACTTGGCCCCAAAGACCTTTGTGCCTCCTTGTGACTTGGAAAAGGAGCAGCAGTGGGCGGAGGTAGCAGGAGTTCTAACGTGGGGAGAGACCGCACACAGGGGAGTGCGATTTTGCCTCCTAACCTACTGCATTTCTAGTTACGCTGCTTCCAAATGCACTCCAAGCCAAGGCACCAATCCTGGCCTGAGGTCTTTCGGAGCGTCGTCACACGCGGCACGGGAGGGTCCCTTCTTCCTTCCTGCCTCTAACTGAAGCTGTCTCCATGCCCAGGGCGTCCGCCAGCCCAGTGGAGTCGCTGCAGCCCGAGCCATGAGACAGCTGTCCACATGGCATGCAGCTCAAACATCTTCTCATTTTCCCTCGTGTCTGAAAGCCGGGCGGAATCTGCTTAAGATGTTCCACCGTCAATGAGTACGAAGCGCAACAGGATGATGACAAAATTATCGTGATTATCAGACACGCAGCTTGTCACTTGGCACCAGCTGTCTCGTGTCATCCTGACACCAGCTGGAAGACGCATTCAGTGTCGCACTGCCACACGTGTGCTTGGAGAAGGTCCCTGCCGGCTAGTGGTGGGCTGGGGTTCCAGCCTCTTCCTGCAAAACTGTCACCCAGCTGGGAAGCATAAAGCCTCTCACTCAGCAGGCCCGGGAAACACTCACGTGTGGCACGGTGCCCGGAGCACCATGGGAACCAACATGGGCTGCGTGATTGCGTGAATAAAGGCACGCGCAGCTGCCAGGTCCATCAGTGATCCCAGAAAGGAGCAGGACGGGGACCGCAAGGATGTCGCGAAAGCTCTCACGTCCCAAGGCGCCGCACGGAAACTCCATCTTCCTGACACAGACCGTCTGAGTCATCGGGAGTTTAAAATAAGAACCCCTATGCCCTCCCGGAGTGGCTTCTGAGTCAGTGTTTTCTTAAGAGAGCCTCCCAAATAAATCCTGGCACAACCACGCCACAGCCCACGATGGCCACAGCCTGTATCTTCGGACAGAGAACGAGCTTGCAGACAACCCAAAACGTGGAGCGTGCAAGCCACGGACAGACAGCGCCTGCAAGGCCACCTATAGTTAAAAACCATGTGAGTGCTTGCATGCGTGCAAATGGACATCGACATCAAGGCCGAGAGAAAGGCGCCGGAGGAAGCAGAGAGGACCCGGGAGGGGAAAGGGGGTGGGGAGGGCTCAGGCCCATGGGCACTTGTTTGTCATCACAAAATGGGAAGATGCAAATCCATGATACCATGAATGAAGAAGAAAAGCAAGCTCTGGCTGAGCCACGGCCGGAGCCCCCTGCACTGGGGCGGCCAGGGGCTCAGGCTGCGGAGCCCACGGCTCCTCCGGCTCCTCTCCAGTAAACACTGAAGCCTTCTCCAAGGGCTGCTCTGAGATCTGTTATTCTGATGGCTTAGTTTTCCAGGCTCCATAATGGCAGCTTTGGGTTTGGGAACTACAAGGGGAAGCTCTTTGGCTGAATTTTTCCCCCTAAATTGAAAAGGGAGTGCTTTTGGCACGAGGTCTGTGCAACTTTGCACTTTGGAAACAGAAGTCTCGAAGCCCAGCGGTCCTTTAAAATCCTCAATTAGAAGACGAGGAGTCAAGCCTATAACCGCACAGCATGGTCCCCCTATTCCTCCAGCCACTTCCGGGCTTGCCCAGAGGGCCCTCGAGGTGACCTAATTAGCATGGACACGGTGGTGAAGGCGTGGATTTGGTGCCTAGGGTGGAGAGGGAAGTGTGCTTCCTGTCCCAGTGGCTTCTCAGAGTGCACTATCAATTCAATTCAAGGCCTCCCTTGCTTGATCGTTACAAATGAATGGCATTGTGCTTGCCCCAACTTGGCTGGCACCGCTGAGCTGTTTCCGTTTGGTTGCAAGGCCAGGGCTCAGGAAGAACAGCAGCCTTGTGTGCACCGGGTTGGTGAGAACGAGTGGGAGTCGGGAGCAGCCACCAGCCAAGCACAGCCAAGAGGATTTGCCGGCTGTGGGGTCACCACGCCTGTGGGGCTGTGGTGCCAGGAACGCTGGCTCCAGGTCCCTCTGTGGTTCCGCTGGCTTCCAAGTGTTTGCAACGTCCAGGCCCGTCAGGAGCACAGCTTCTCTGCTCCTCATTAAATCACCTTCCAAGGGGGTGATACGGCGCCCGCCCAGGGCAGCCACGTGGACCGGTAGGGGTCTTCCTGCATGGGTCTGGGGGTCTCCCAGAGACCAGTGACAGGGTCTGCTCCAAATCCAAAACTCATCTTGTTCTTGAATTGTCCCAAGAGCAGCATTAATGTTCAGAGACACAATCCGACAACTGCACTCACTTGGGCCAGTTTTTCAGATGTGCAGCCAAAATGACCTCTGGCCTAGAGAAGGACCTAGAAGTGCGGCCCCATGGGACAGTGCCTGGGCTCACCCTCCAGCCACCCAGCCCCCGCCTGTGTCCACAGTGACGGCTCACCTCTTGGATCGCATATGCATCTCCTTCTCTGAAATGCATCTCTCTTTGGGCTTGAACAAATTATCTGGGAAAAGAGAGACAGAGCACTCATTTCAGAAGGCACAGAATACCACACAGCTCTAAACGTCCGGGTGCGTCCAGCACAGAGGCCGGGACTGACCCTCCCTCTCTGTCACAGCCGGGCAGACCCTGCAGGATGCAGAAGAAACTCGGGCAGCATCTGCAGTTGCCATGGCAACGGGCCATGGAGAATTAGCCTTGACGAGCATCACACAGGGCATCGAGTTCAGGGTCACCTTCTCACCTGCTGCATGGAGAGCGATTCCTTTGAAAGTCACGTTTTCTGGGGTGCAAGTCCAGCGCCCCTCCCCCCAGAAACAGCCCCGCCCTAGGTTTTTGAGGCCCTGGCCAGGACGCCTCCCAGCTCTCCACGGGGGCATTTTGATGCTGCGGGCTTCACGATGCCTGTAGCCCTCTGTCCGGCCCGCTCAGCCTCTGTGTGAGGACCACCTGCCCTTTGTGCTGTCAGAAGAGAACAGATGACAACCTAACGGCCACACAGCTCAGGGTCCCTGGATTGAGGATCAGTCCCTCGTGGCTAAAAATCACTGCAAATGTTTCTCTGTGGATGTATGTATTCCTAATCACTACGATGTTCATAAATGCTTGTAAGTTTAAAAATGCTATGTCTTGGTGCTGGTTCTAGTCCCGACTGCTCCTCTTCCAGTCCAGCTCTCTGCTATGGCCTGGGAAAGCAGTGGAAGATGGCCCAAGTCCTTGGGCCCCTGCAGCTGCATGGGAGATGCAGAGGAAGCTCCTGGCTCCTGGCTTTGGATCGGCTCAGCTCCCGTCATTGTGCCCATTTGGGGAGGGAACCAGCAGATGGAAGGCCTCTCTCCTTCTTTCTTTCTCTGTCTCTACTTCTATGTTATTCTTTCAAATAAATAAAAATAACTCTTAAAAAAAGAGATATATCTTTGAAAACCACCTACACCCTTTGGTAATCACTGAAAAGGGACCTTTTGTGGTAACTCTGAGATGCCTGGGACACCAGGTCCTGCGGGTGAGCTGGGGCCTGGCACGCAGGAATGCCCTGAGGCGCTGTTGCGTGGGGCTGGCTCGTGGCGCTGAGTGGCAGCCACGCTCTCTGGAGCAGAGGCCATAAGCAGCTCCCACCTCACTGAGCATCCCACAGCTGGGGTGGGTTCCTCAGCAGGACCTGGATGTGTTTCTGGTCAGCTGTCCCCATGGAGGGCCACCTGCCTGTCCCATAGAGCCAGGGGAACAGCTGTCTCCGGATTGAGAACACGTCATCCCTTGGTACCCGGGGGGTTGGGTGCTTGGATCCCCACAGGCACTGAAATCTACAGCTGCTCAAGGCCTGTGTATAAAACGATGCCGCGCACGTCCGGGCGGCCTGCACAGTCTCCTGCCTGCTGCGCCTCGTCACTGTACCTCATGGCACTCGATGCAATGTACACGCCACACAAATGGCCGGTCGGTGCCTTGCTTATGGGACAAGCTGCAAAGAAACACTGGGCACCATCTGGAAGTATTCAGTACAGATGCAATTTTTTTCTCAAATATTTTCGATGAACAGTTGGTTGTATCCAAAGTTGCAGAATCCATAAATACAGAGGATCAACCTCATACAGAAGTTTCTGGAATATCATGGAAGGGAGGCAGAGGTACGGATCATAGGAAACTCCTCCTGTGAGAAACACGACGCGGCCTCTGCTTTGCGAGACAGTGACAGGGCTTTCATTCTATCTGGGTTTTCAAACATGAAAGCAAGAATATGGCATCATTACTGAACTTCAAAAGCTAAGATTCAAAAGAAAAACAGGAGAAAGGAATCAGAATAGGAGGGCACTCCAAAATGTGGGAAAATGGCATTAAAGGCTAAGTTTACTTTGATGGCAAAATATTTGAAACCCAGGCCGTGTTTAGTAAAGTGGTTAAGCAGCTGCTTGGGAAACCCACATGCCACATCAGAGTGCCTGGTTCAAGTCACAGTTCCCCCGCTTCCAATGCAGTTCTCTGCTAACGCTCACCCTTGGGAAGCCATACATGATCGCCCAAGTACACGGGTCCCAGTCACCCAAGAGGGAGCCCACATGGATTGAGCTCCAGGCTCTGGCTTGGCCCAGCCCTGGCTATTGCAGGCATTTGAGAAATGAACCCCTGCATGGGAGATCTCTGTCTGCCACTCTCTGGCCTTTCAAATAAAATAGAAATAAAGATATAACTCTAAAATTGACACAGGGGCCAGTGCTGTGTTGTAGCAGGTAAAGCCACTGCCTGCAAAACCAGCATCCCATGTGGGCACCACTTTGTGTCCCAGGTGCTCTGCCTCGTATCCAGCTCCCTACTGATAGCCTAGGAAAAACAGGAAGATGGCCCACTTGGGAGACCCAGATGAAGCTCCCGGCTACAGCCCGGACTAGCCATACTGTCTGTTTCCCTCATCTGAAGGCTGAACCAGTGGATGGAAGATCTCTCCATGTGTGACTCTCCCCCTCTGTAACACTGTCAGATAAATAAATAAATCTTTTAAAAACTGAGGTCTATGTTGAGTGTTCGTGCTTTGAGGACTCCTGGGTTCCCACCTAAGGAAGGGTCTGCAGAGACTGTGAGTGGTCAAGACGCTTCCCAGGGCCCAGCCCTGGCCCTGCGCCAGACAGGGCCAGGCCAGAGCCAAGGTCCTCCAGAACATTCTACGGCCTTTCCAACAAAGGTGAATGTCCACGTACGTTTGTCAGGGACTTGGGCAAGCAAGGACGGGACTGCCTGAGGACACCACCCCGAGAGAGCCTCGCATGGAGATCGGACTCGAGTCAGGAGTGATCCCCGAGCTCCGGCAGACTGGGGAGGCCGAGGCAAGCGGAGCTGGTGCCCGGTGGCCGTGAATCACGCCACATCGCCTTTGCCAGTCTTTCCCGACCTCAGTCCTTCCATCCACTCTGGGACGTGCGGTGCCCTTTGGTTTGTATCTTTAGAGCCCCGGGCACCACAGTCAGGCTTTGCAGCCGTGTCGGGCAGCTCCGTGCTGCTTTCTGAGCTCTTCCTGGCTGTGAGGCTGCAGCAGACGCTTTGATCTGGCCCCTGGTGCAGGTGCACACCAGCAGGCCACTGGCGGCGGGCTCAAGCCTGCTCCTCAGGGAAGTGTTTGCCTGCTGGTTGCTGATGACTCAGGAATGTGCCACAGCCCTCAGCCCATGGATCGGGCAGCAGGGCCTTCCTGGGGGAGAGGAAGAGGCGAGGCCAAAAGGGGAGGGTCCACCCTTCCCACCAAGGGTGCCATCTGGAACAAAGCAGGTCACCTTGAATGGCTCCATGCTCACCAGTGTCAAAGAATGTGCAGGGAGCAGCTTTGAGCACTGTGAGAAGGGAGGTGGTGAGAGCTAGGGAGGGGGAACGTTGAACCCCAGGTGGGCAGCGTGATGACTCACAACAACTCAGCCAGTGTCTACAGGATGGCTCCTTAGGTGCTCACCACTCCTCTTCACACCAGCCCCACGACACCCCTGAATGCTTGCGTTTTCCTCCCTTCCACATCCCCTCTCTTCCTAGGGGACACTCGGAAGGAACGAGACTGGGTGAGAGCCGGCCTCCAGGAGAGTCCATTGGTCCAGGAGGCTGCAAAGTATCCAGCAGGTGCTCTGATGGAAAGGAATGGCTGCCCCGACCCGAGCAGCCAGGAAGATCACGCAGGGAGGGAGAGCTGTAAACCAAGGGCCGGGTGAGCACCGCAGCCAGCTGTGGGAGGAGCGGGACAGGGAACAGCGGGTTCCTGTGGCAAGAACGTGGCTGTAGCATGAGGGGCAGGTGCAGGGGTGAGAGTGGCCACAATCATGCTTTTCCACTCAAGCTTCACCCTCCGGCCTCTGTGGGATGCTGCCCACGATGCCTGTGCATGGACACTGCAATCCCACCCAGCACCTGCAAAGAAGTACAACACACACCAAAGGTGGGAGCCACACATGCAGGAGGCCGTGCAAACCCACATAAGCAGTTTGTGGGCCTTCTGGGTGAGAGAGATGGTGAGCCATGTAGGCTTTATCACCGGACAATGACTGTGGCACCTCTTCAGAAACTGGGTGGTGGGAGGGGCAGTGACAGCAGGGGCATGGGTGGGGAGCATGCACCAGGAGCCCAGAGGGGCTGGTAGCCACAGCTGCAGCACCCACCTCACCAGGGACTCCCTGTCTCCCAGGTGGAAGTGACCACTCGAGGATGGCTCCCAGGGTTTCAGTTAGAGCAACCCATCTGCTTGATGACTAAGTTTGTATCACTTGGAGCTAGGTGGCAGGGACACAAAGATACGAAGTGAGCTCAGAGTCCAGAGGGAGCGCCAGGTGCATATGGCCTCTCAGTGCCAGGACCAAGGTTGGCACGGGGAAGGGGAGGCCTCACGGAGCAGTAGTCAGGTCCACCAGGCGAGAGGAGACCTGGGAAAGCCCCACAGAGTCACAGAACTGAAGGAACTGGAGCACCTGGGGTTGGGGCGGGGCCGTGTGGGCCTGTTGGTGGGGGAGGAAGGTGGGGCATGGCCATGTGCATCTGCCCGCCTACAAGGACAGGTGCCGCGTGGCCAGGGGTCTCGTCTCACGGCGTGGAAACATCCAGCCTGCGCTTTGTTCAGAATCACAGGTCGCGTCCACCTGTTCCCTTTCAGCAACGGCCCTGCCTCTATAACATGGGAGTGGTGAGGGCAATGTCAGCCTGCTTGGGAGTCTTCCATGAAAGTCTGGAAGCGTCCAGTATTCTAATTCACTGACATGAGGAACGAGACTGCCAGTCTCTTTACTTCCCACTATCATTCAACTACAGAAGGTTGTCCATTTTGCCCCAACAACGTTACTAAGGTAAACTGTCCATTTCTGAGTTTCTGGGAAGTCCTTTATTTTTCCCCCTCCCCCCCGAGTGTCTTGCACATGGCTCATTCCTGGGCCGAGACCACAGAGTCTTATGAATTTAACTTGCCAGGGCCAGGCTTCCTTAAGTGCCTGCCTGTTTCAAAGTCAGCAGACGGACAGGTACAAGACAGGTGTGCCTGAAGCTGCTCATGTGAAATCAAGGTCCCAATAGCCATCGCTGTGAACATATAACCACCACCCCTAGATGTGTGCATGCCAACAGCCAACAAAGACGCCAGAAAGTAGCAGGAGCCCCCCGAGGCCCGCAGGATTGTTTACGGGGCTGGAGCTGTTTTCCCTCTGCCTCGAACCTTCTCTGCAGCTCTGATTGCAAAGCTTAATTTTCCCCGTTGAATACCAATCTAAATGATAGTCAACTTCACACGATTTATTAGGGCAACGGCCTCTCCGAGGCTCGTTCCCTTCAGCCCCCCTGAGCACCTGGAAGAACGTCTTCGACATCTGCTTCCCTTCTCATAGAAACAGGATCTCCCAAAGAGGCTTGTGGAGAGAATGCACGAGGGCCACCGAGCCAGCTCCCAGTAGGGACGTCAAGTCCACAGCCCTGTCTCCCCCTCGCAAGTCTTCTTAAACAGTGGCCATCTCAAAAGACATGGAAGTGGGGTACATTTTAGGGGCTGTGTGTGTTTTGAGTCCACAACGCTGTTCCCTGTGCCTGTTTCAAAGCCAAGAAGCAGTTGGCCACCTGCCCCTGGACGGATGACACCACAGTTTTCAATACTTAAACCCCAACAGGAGCATACCATTTCTGTTCAGCTCACAAGAGGGGAGCTCCCATTTGCTTAAAGTAGGCAAGAGTGGGGTGCTCTAACTTCGGCTAAGGAGCCCCCCATGAACTGAACAGTGCACATTATACCACATAAAGGCAAGTCAAAAACTCCTGGTTGCTTGCCTGTAAAGGGTTCTTCTGATGCTAAATTCCTGTGTTAGGGGCCAGTGTTGAGGTGCAGTGGGTTAAGCTGCAGCCTGCAATCAGCTGCAATCCCATGCGAGTACTAGTTTGAGTCCTGGCTGGCTGCTCCACTTCCGATCCAGCTCCCTGCTCATGTGCCAGAGAAGGCAACAGAGGATGTCCTGAGTACTTGGGCCCATGCTCCCCACGGGGGAGACTTGGATGGAGCTCCAGGCTCCTGGCTTCTGCCTGGTCCAGCTCTGGCTGTGGTGGCCATTTAGGGGAGTAAACCAGTGGATGGAAGATAATCCCTCTCTCTCTCACTCTTTATGTCCCTCTCTCTCAATGCTATTCCTGAGAAAGTACTTTTAAAATTAGTACCATTATAAATAGCTACAATAAAAACTTAAATACCTTGTAATAAATTTAACCAAGGATGTAAAAGAGCTCTATGATAAAGATTACAAAACCTTAAAGAAAGAAATAGAAGAAGACACAAAAATAATGGAAGGATCTTCCATGTTTGTGAATTGGAAGAATTAATATCATCAAACTCTCAATGCTACCTAAAAGTTTATAGATTCAATGTAATTCCAATCAAAATACCAAGGATATCCTTCTCAGCACTAAGAAAAAAATGCTAAAATTCATAGGGACACATAAGAGACCCCAGATAGCTAAAGCCGTCTTAAACAACAAAAACAGCTGGAGGCATCACAATACCAGATTTCAAGACATGCCACAGGGCAGTTATAATCAAAGTAGCCTGATGCTGGCACAAAAACAGCCTGTAGAACAATCGAACAGAATAGAAACCCCCAAAATTAATCCACACAGCTACAACCAACTAACCTTTGACAAACAAGCTAAAATCAATCCCTGGAGAAAGAACAGTTTCTTCAACAAATGGTGTTGGGAAAATCGGATCCCCACCTGCTGAAGGATGAAACAAGACCACTGCCTTATACAAAAATCAACTCATGAATTGAGGATCCAAATCTGTGACCCAATACCGTCAGGAGAACATAGGAGAAGCTGCCAAATATTGGCATAGGCAAAGACTTCTTGGAAAAGAACCCAGAAGCACAAGAAATAAAAAATAGACAAATGGAATTACATTAAACTAGCAAACTTCTGCACTGCAAAGGAAACACTCAACAAAAATGCGACTGAGAGAATGAGAGAAAATATTTGCAAACTATGCATCTGATAAAGGATTAATATTCAGGATCTATAAAGAGCTCAAGAAACTCAACAACAACAAAACAAACAATCCAGTTAAGAAATGGGCAAAGGACATGAACAGGCATTTTTAGGATGAAATACAAATGGCCAATAGACACGTGAAAAATGCTCAGGATCATTATCATCACTAGATCAGGGAACTGCAAAGGAAAACCACAAGGAGGTTAGAATAGCTAATTAGAATAGCTATCATTCAAAATCAAAAAACTATAAATGCTGGCAAGAATGGGAGGAAAAAGGTGCCCTAATCCAGTGTTGATGGGAATGTAAACTAGACAGCCATTGTGGAACACAGTATTGGGATTCCTCAGAAATCTAAAAATAGATCTAACATCCCATTCCTGGGAATTTACCCAAATGAAATGAAATCACCATATGAAAGAATTATCTGTACTCCCATGTTTATTTCAGTTGAATTCATAATAACTAAGATATAGAATCAACACAGATGTCCATCAACTGATGACTGGATAAAGAAAATGCAATATATATACATGATGGAATACAACTCAGCCATAAGAAAGACTGAGATCCTGTCTTTTGCAACAAAATGGATGCAACTGGAAACCATTAAGCCAGTCCCCCAAAAGACAAATATCATCTGTTTTCTCTGAGATGTGGCAGTTAATGTAGAATGCAAAAAATGTATAGGAATGAAACAGGTATCTAGAGATTTGATTATTTCAGCCCTTGTTTATTCTCCTGTGGAACTGTAGTCTTTCCTGTTGAATATTATGGTTAGTGGTGCATTAAGCCTGTGATTATAGAGTGGAATGAAAGTATGTTTCTGTAATAGTTAGGAAAGAAGAAGGAAGATTGAGGGAGGGAAAAAGGAAGGGAGGAAAGTATGGCTATCTTCTTAGAATTGCACCTATGAAATACACATTCTCTTTATATTAATACAAATTTAAAAACAAAACAAAAAATATATCTTGTGCTGGATAAACACAGTGCTTCCAACCTCACTCCTAGCTTCCGTGGACTCTCGCCCTGAGTGACAGCTGCCCATGCTAGCAGCTTAGTCTAGGGGACTAGACGTTGAAGTTGCTACACAAAAGATGTTGTAAATATCGAAATGGCCCTTGGAAGAAGAAAGGTTGCCCAGCCCTGTGCCTGGAGGACAAAGAATGTCTCTTCTCCTTCCCTACGGCCAACGGCACCAAACGCTGACTATTTCTACTTATTGGCTGCTTACTTACTCATAGAGACAGCCAGCCAGGAGCAAAGGGGTCCAGGGATCTCCATGAGTCCCCCATAGGAACCATGGGCCCCCTGAGGAAGACTGGATTGTACCACTTCCTAACCAGATCCCCAGTCCTGCCAGGGGCCTGTGCAACAGCCCCAAGATGTACCAGTTGTGTCCACTCTGGTGTGGGTGGGATCAGAGACTCTCAAGCCACCCACACCCCTCCTTGAGACCAAAGCTCCCAAAGGGAAGCTTTGCAAAGGGCCCCTGGTGGTTACTAAACGTGCGTCTCCCCCAGAGAGCTCTGCCGGGCTGGCAGGGATGCTGGCATCTTCTGCAAGGAGCTCCCTGCTGATGCGGGAGGCAGCTCCGCTCAGCCCCTAGGATTTAATGACCCCAATTCTCAGTGACCTCACTAAATAGGACAGGAAATTCAGTTTCTTTCCGCTTACTTAAAAATAATGAGTGTTAGTAAATTGAACATGATGCTTTTATGGCGTCCTCATGGTGACTCCCGTGGCTTGCCTGCTCCTTGCTGACATGGGAAAGTTGTCTTATGGCTCAGCGTGAAGACTCCCAATCAGTGTGGGCCTCTGCTCTGTGTCTGTGCCCTGCACAAACTCCCTGAGGTTGTGAGTCCTGGTCCCTCCCCTGCCCAGTGAGAGAAGAGAATCTGCTCTCACGTTCTTGGAGGAACCCGTGGGAATGGTCCCCACAAAGTGGAGAAGCCCCAGGTGCCATCTGTGCTCACCACCACCATTCGCCAACTGCTCTCCTCCACATGGGACCCCCGGCCTCCTGAGTCAGGTTCTGGTTCACCCTCACAACCACCAGGAGGACGGAGCTCTCTCCTCCCTACAGGTGAGGAAGAGGAGGTCTCGTGATTAAGTCCCTGACGCTCGGGTCTCCAGGTCAATGCGTAAGAGACCGGAGGGTTGAGCACTGAGAGGATCAGCAGGGGTTCTGTTCTCTGCTGCACACAGAAGGATGCGGTTCTCAGAGCGGGGCTGGTGTCCTCCTCATTCACCTGATGCCAGCTCTGCATGGCTCCTGCTCACCTTCCAGTCCCTGAGCCCGCAGCCCCAGCGTCACCTGGGACCTTGCCACAAATGCAAACTCTTGGTCCCCAACCCATGTCATCTGAACAGGAATCCTGGGCCAGGTCTATGATCTGAGTCATCACAAGGCCTCCAGATGATCCCGACCTCTCCCTCAGTGTGATGACCCCTGGCACCTTCCCAGGGGCAGCCAGAAGGGGAGGAGCAGGGGCAGGTCCCTGCCTGGGATTCGGGGCCTTGAGGGAGGACTGCCTCGAGATGCGGCTTGCACTTGAGATCAGCAACAGAGGATGCTGTCGCAGTAAGAAGTGCAATATTTGGAACATATTCTAAAAAAGCAATCACCGATGCAAATGCAAACCCCGCCGGACATCCTACATATTCGTCTGATACGTCTGGCAACCCTACTTTGATTGTCTAGAGAATCTCCCGAGGCCAAGGCAACAAGGGGTCAGGTCCCAGCCTCAGGGGTCCCCGCGTCTTAGACTGAAGCCGCCACATGTGCAGGTAGCAGTGGGGATGCTGAGCACCTGCCCCTACTCAGTCAATGGTCTGGTGGTCTGTGACTTCTCCGAGCCATTGTCTTGGCTCACTGGTATGGACAAGCCCTCTTCCCTGGACCCCCGCCATTATGCTGGATTTTTTTCTTGTCTGTGGTCATCTCATATTGTAACATTTGCGAAGTGTTTTTCAAAGAGAACAAGATTGGCTCCTCTTCCTCTGGAGGATCTTTTTCTGGGTACCAACACGGTGGCATTGGTACAGCCGTCAGGACAGCCCCATTGGAGAAAGCTCTGGGCAGGGCCTGTCACCAGGAGGTGTCCAGCGAGGCAAAGCCAGCCACAGACGAAACAGGCACAATGCCCCCACTGCCTCCTGGAGTCGCTGGGACACCAGCCATCACTTCCTGGCATTGCTAGACCAAAGCTACGCAGATAGCAAGAGACAGACCAATTTCTCACAGTCACGGTTTCTACCGCTAACTGAAAAACTCCAGTTGGGTTTCTTCAGCAGGCACGGCAGATACATAAGCAAACATTCTTAGGAAAATGTTACCCAAACGGACTCTGAAGAATTAGACAACAGAATCCCAATGTCAAGAAAGTTTAGAGAAAACAAATTTAAGCAGGTTTCTTGCTTCAGAACTTTTCAGCAGCCTTAACATGTATCGAGCATTGCAACCTTCCAAGAGAATGTGGTACAGTGTGTCACACGCAGCAGGAAGTTTCTCCAGGGAACCCGAAGGGACTCACCCTCCTCTGGAATGCGCTGTGAGTAGTGCTTTGCTAGATGATACTGGAAAGAAAAGTGAGATTACGCTGGGATGCCAGCAGTTAATTAGTTCCCAGTTTTCAAATTATTTGTACCTGTTGGGTAGGAGTTAGTGGGTATATATAAAAAGAAAATCTAATATATGTCTCCCTATCTTATTAAAAATGTGTGCTTGCCTTTATCAACATAGCAATGGGGGTACCTGTGCCTGGGCACCCAGGAGCCCAGACTCTGTGATTCCTCCACATGCCTGTGCTTTGAACCCTGGTACCACGGCTACTCGGTGCGACATATCCTGTTTAAGTGTCACCATTACCGTGAGCACACCCATAAGCCAGAACTAGTACCGCGAGAACTCACCTTGGCCATGACTTCCCTGGTGGTAGAAAGAAGAGATCAGGAGGACCCTAGCTGTCCTTGCTGTTACTGTGGACACGGTCCACTGAGGACACCTGCCATCACCTCTAGTGGCAACCTCAGCTCAGAGATGCAGAAACTATGATCCTGCACTCTCACGGACCCTCACCCACATGCTGACCCCACACCCACCTCATCCACACAGTGACCCACACCCACCTCATCCACACAGTGACCCACACCCACCTCACCCATACAGTGATCCCACACCCACCTCATCCATACAGTGACCCTGCACCCACCTCATCCACACGATGACCCCACACCCACCTCACCCACATGCTGACCCTACACCCACCTCATCCACACGGTCACCCTGCACCCACCTCATCCATACAGTGATGCTGCCTCCACCCATGAGGGATTATGTTCCCTCCCCCAACACCTGTCTATAAAGTCTAGAAGAGCTGAGTACTCCATCAAATGTGCAAGGCAACACAAAACATGAAAAAAAAAAAACAAGGATACATTAAACCACAAAATAAAGTCATAATTGTCCAGTAACTGATGACAAAGAAATTAAAATCTATGAATTGCTTGTAAAATTCAAGAAACCTAATGAACCACAAGAAATGCAGAGGAACCCTTCAATGAAATCAGGAACGACATGTAAACAAAATGAGCTTAAGAGAGAGAATAAAATCATTGAAGACTCAAATAAAAACCATGGAGCTGAAAAATACAATGAATGAAATTAAAAGCATAAGAGTTGTCAACAGCTAAATTAATGAAGCAGAAGAAAGAATCTGTGGCCTGGATGACAGGTTATTTAAAAAACACTCAGAGAAGGAAAAGAAATCAAAGGGAATAGTGGAAGCCTACGCCAGTTATGAGGCGGCGTCAAGCGAGCTCATGTTTGCATTCTGGGATTTCTAGGAAGAGAAGAGAATGGGACAAAAATGCATTTAAAGAAATAACGGCTGGAAGCTGCCTACATTTGGGGAAACCCATAAACAGCCGGTGTAAGAAGCACAAAGCTCTCCAATCACATTCAACCCAAAGATTACACCAAGGCATACAACTGTCAAATTGTAAAAAACTGGGTCCAGTGTTTTGGCACATCAGGTAAAGCCATCTCCTATGGGCACTGGTTTGTGTCCTGGCTGCTCCACTTCCCAAACAACTCCACGCTAATGGCTTGGAAAGGCAGCAGAAGGTGTCCCACATGCTTGGGCCCTGTACCAACATGGGAGATCCAAATGAAGCTTCTTGTCATGGCTTCAGCCTGACCCAGCTCTGGCCATTGCACCCAGCTGGGGAGTGAACCAGCAGATGGAAGATCTGTGTGTGTGTGTGTGTGTGTGTGTGTGCTGTGTCTTTCCCTCTCTCTCACTTTCAAATAAATAAGTAAATCTTAATTTTAAAAATTGCCAAAACCCAGACAAGGAAAGAAGATGCTCTTATAGAGGAGAACTCCAATGTGGCTATCAGCAGATTTCTCAGCAGAAACCTTGCAGGAGAGGAGAGAGCGGTGTGACTTACTCAACGTGCTAATAGGAGAAATGGCAGCCAAAGTTACTTTGTGTGGCAGAGCTGTTCTTCAGACATGAGAGAAAGGAAATAAAAGCTGAGGGAGTTCCTCACCATTGACTAGTTTATAGGAAAGGCTCCAAGCTGCTCCTCAAGTGGGAACTAAAGAGCGGTAAGTAGTGACATGAAAGACACGAAAGCACAGAGCTCACCAGCAAAAGTGAGTACACAAACACAGAACACTCATGTCCTAACAGTACTAACAAATCGCTTTTTGTAGCTAGTAGAAATTTAAAAAAACTATTAAAATAACCATAGCTATAAAAATTTATTAAGTGATGCACAACATAAAAAATGTAAATTGTGACATCAAAAACATAAAGGGGAAGTAGAAAGTGTATGTATAAAGTTTTGACATGCAAAGCTAAGTTGTTTGAGTTTAAAATAGCCTGTATGTCTTACATAAGCCTCGTGATAACCACAAGTCAAACTTCTGTAGTAGATACACAAGGAACAAAAGTGGAATGAAAACACACCACTACAGAAAACCGTCCTATCACAAAGGAAGACAGCAAGAGCAACAAAGGGACGAAGAATCTCTAAAACAACCGGAACACAAGGAGCAAAGGGCATGAACAGGTCCTCGGCTCTCACCAGCTGCCCTGCATACATGTGGGTTAACTCTTCCAATTAAAAGACGACTGACTGAACTGATTTATTTAAATGGCCCAACTATGTACTGCTTTCAAGAAACTTACTTCAAGTTTGACGACACACACGGACTGAAAGTAAATGAGTGGAAGAGATAGTCCATGTACCAGGAGCCTGCAGAGATGAGGGGTAGCTACACTGAGAGTAGACAAAATAGACTTCAAGTGGAAACCTGCTAAAGGAGACACAACAGTCAAATTATAAGGATAAAGGTATTAATTCATCAAGAGATACAACAATTATATTTGCACCCAATATCAGAGCACCAAAAATTTTGAAACAAACAACGAAGGGGAATTTGACAGCAATACAATGATGATTATTCATAGAGACCTTCAAAACACCACTTTCAACAATGGCTAAATCATCCAGGCAGAAAATTAACAAGGAAACCTGGACTCGAACTGTAAGTTAAACAGAATGGACCTCCCAGACATATATAAAGTATGAGGGAACTTCAGAAAGTTGGTAGGAAATTATAAATAACATTTATTTTAGTGCAAAGAATGTTGAAGCCCATCCATAGCTTTTTCATAACACGCATGTCCTGTGAACTCTTTGACGATGCCTGTATCCCAACAGTGTAAGAAGCACTCTCTTCTCACATGGACACAGGTCACGTGGTAGGCCACAGAACAAGGCTTAACAAGTATAGATTCCAATCACAATGATATGAAACAAGGAATCAATAACAGAAGGAATTTTGGATAATTCACAAATACATGGAAATTAAACAATATACTTCTAAATAGCCAATGGTTCAAGTAAGAAATCAAAAAAGCAAATTAAAAACTATCTTGAGACAAACAAAAGTGAAAAAGTAACATATCGAAACGTATGGGCTGAAACAAAAGCAGCTGTGAGGGAAGTTCTGAGGGGCCGCCCACATTAAAAAGGAAGAAAGAGGGTCTGGCACTGTGGCTTAGCAGGCTGAGCCTCCACGGGCAGCACCATCATCCCATATGGCGCCAGTGAAGACTTGGCTGCTCCTCTTCTGATCCAGCTCCCTGCTGCAGCCTGGGAAAGCAGCAGAGGATGGCCCAAGCGCTTGGGCCCTGCACCCGCATGGGAGACCAAGATGAAACTCCTGGCTCCTGGCTTCGGATAGGCCCAGCTCCGGCTTATGCGGCCATCTGGGGAGTGAACCAGAGGATGGAAGACTTCTCTGTCTCTACCTCTCTCTGTCTCTAGCTCTGCCTCTCAAATAAATAAATAAATAAATCTTAAAAAAAGGAAGAAAGATAGTGTCATAGCACATTAAGCTGTCACTTGCAATGCCGGCATCCCACATCAGAGTGCTAGTTAAAAGTCTGGACTACTGCTTCTGATCCAGCTCCCATAGTGCACCTTGTAAGGCAGTGGAGGGTGGCCCAGGTGCTTGGGCCCCTGCCACCTGCATGGGAGACCTGGAGGGAGTTCTGGACTCCTGGCTTTGGCCTGGGTCAGCCTCAGCCATTGTGGCCATGTGGGTAGTGAAGAAGCAGATGGAAGTCTCTCTCTCTCTCTCTCTGCCTTTCAAATAAATGAAACAACAACCCAATATTATCCTTCAAAGCACCAGAAAAATAGATAACTGTTGTTGTAGAAGGAAGAAAATAAAGATCAGAGCAGAAATTAACGAAACAGACTCAAAAATAGCACAAAGCTCCATGAACCTCGGAGTTGTTCTTTTGAAAAGATAAATAAGATCAACAAACCTGTAGCACAGAGGCCTCACATGCATAAAAACAAAATTGGACCCTTCTCTCACATCATCAACAAAAATTACCTCAAACTGGATCAAAGACGCACATGTGATAGCTGAGCTGTAAACCCACTAGAAGAAGGCATCCGGAGAATCTTCAAGACATTGATCTGCGCAATGATTTCCTGGATATGAATCAAAAGCTCAAGTAAAAAGGCAAAACGGACCAACGGGACTGCATCAACCCAGGACACAACAGAGTTAAGAGACAACCCACGGAACAGGAGAAAATTTTTGTATATCATTGATCTGGTAAGTGTTAATATCCAAAACACTTAAGTAACTCAAACAACTTAATAGCAAGAAAATAGCCTGATCAAAAATGGGCAAAAGACCTGAAGAAGACGTACAAACGGGCAGCAAGTAAATGAAAAAATACACAGCATCACTACGCAACAGGGAAATTCAAATTAAACCACAATGAGATGTTGCCTGACACCTGTTAAGACAGCCATTAGAAAAAGAAAGTCCCAGGGCCCTGGCGCACTTGGTTAATCCTCCACCTGTGGCACTGGCATCCCTTATGGGCGCTGGGTTCTAGTCCCAGTTGTTCCTCTTTCAGTCCAGCTCTCTACTGCAGCCCGGGAGGGCAGTGGCGGATGGCCCAGGTGCTTGGGCCCCTGCACCTGCATGGGAGACCAGGAAGAAGCACTTGGCTCCTGGCTTCGGATTGGCGCAGCGC